GAGGGCAAGAGGACGTGGAGGAAGCGGGGAGGGAGGGGCATGTTCAAGGCCATCGCTGCCCTGCCGGGGTCCTGCCCTCCTGAGGTGGCCCCTCACCAGGCTGTGCCCTGCGGTGGGGCAGGGGGGAAGCTGGCAGCTCTGGAAGAGTTCCGGCTGCAGAAAGAGGAGCTCACAGAGAAGTTCGTGTCGCTGGAGGACCAGCTACGGAAGCAGGAGAGTGAATACAAGGATTACGTGTACAACCTAGAGAAGAAGTCCGTGCTGGACAAGGACAGGTGAGCAGTTTGGGTGCTGGGGTGAAGCACAGTTCAGTCCTCAAGTCTCCAACAGCCTCCGCTTCTAACTGGGGGGACTGCATTAGCTCAGGGACTCCCCAGCCTGGCTGGTGATTTGTAGAGGGTAGGAGAAAATAGATAAGCTCCCAGCTCTAGCCCTTACACTGGCATTACTAAATCCTTGGGACTTCCTTTTGCCACTTTTTGTGACTTAAAAATTATATTTACTTAATAGGTAACAATAATACATACTGATATGGTTCAAAATGCCAGAGGTACAAAGGGTCTGCCGTGAAAAGCCTCTTGCCTGAATCCCCGCTCCTCCCGGGAAATAGAGCATAGTGGTGGCCCTCAGCCTTCTGGGGAACCCCACATGGGAGGGCAGTGCATGTGCCCACTTGCCTGATGCCCCCTCCTTCCCACCCATACTGACTAGACTGAGGAAGGAGATCATCCAGCGTGTGAACTTGGTGGCCACCGAGTTCCGTAAAGTGGCCACTAACCAGATGTGGGACACGACAAAGCGCGCCATCATGGAGAACAATACGGTCACCCTGCAGCTGTCGAAGATATCCCAGCAAGGCATGCAGCTGCTGCAGGAGAATGAGCAGCTCAAGGACACCCAGGACAAGCTGTGCAAACAGCTGGATCTGTTGGAGAACACCCAGAAGGTCATGGCCAGGCATAGCAGAGGCCACCATAAGGTGTGCCCGCCAAGCCCTCGTCACGGGGCATTTGGCACATAGAGCAGGAGGGAACCCTAGGGGTGCCGCTTCAGGGCAAACACAGCCTGGCAGGGTTGGATCCCAGGCTGGAGCCAAGTCATGAGGGAGGCAGCAGTGAGGGGACACAGCCCTTTGTGGGGGCTCCTGGGTGCTGGGTGCACCTCTGGTTTTATTTGGTCTAAAGCCCCTTATAACTCACTGAAGCGGAACCCACCCCTGGGCAACCGGGGGCTCTGACCAGACACGGTGCTGGGCGCCCAGGACCTTGGCTGGCTTCTCTGTACAAAGGGGTGAGCTCTGGTTGAGTCCGGAGCTGGGGGAGCAGGGCTGGCTGAGCGCCCGCGGTGGGCCCAGGGCATGGCCACCTGCCCGCACCCGCAGGTCATCCTCATGCTGACCGAGAAGTGCCGCGAGCAGCAGCAGGGCAGGGCGGAGGCCGAGCGGCTGTGCCTCCGGCTGAGCCAACTGGAGCAGAGCCTCGGGCAGCTACAGCACGACCACCAGGCACTGAGGTGGGGCCCACAAAGGGGCGAGCAGTGGCGGCAAGTGGGGGGGAGGGGGGTTGAGGCCCTCTCTTTTGGGCCACATGACCTGACATAGGCCAGTGGCTTCCCCTTTCTCTAGGGGTCTTGAGGCTTTGTCTGCCAAACAGGCTAAAGCCCGGGGCTGGATGAGGGCCCCTGTGGGCTAGAGAGAAACCGCCTAGCACAGGGAGGGGGCTGACTCATCCCGGTCCTGGGTCCAGGAGTCAGAGAGACCAGCTGAACCTGCAGCTGGAGAGGCAGCAGGCTAAGGCACAAAGGCTACAGCGGGAGCTGACCGAAGAGCAAAAGGTTCGGGCAAGTCTGGAGACAGCCCTGGCCCAAGCCACCTTCTTCCTACAGGACATTCTACAGGTGACAGGAAGTGGGTAAAAGTCAGGGGCGGGGGGAGTGGGCCAATGTCAGACACTGCTTGGAGACACCGGGAGGGGCTGGGCCAGGGCCAGAGGCCCCACCTTTCCTCTGAGAGACTCCCGGCAAGTCTGTCCTTTCCTGATCCGGCAAAGATCCCTTGAAGGTCTCAAAATTGCTGGAGTCCCTCTCTGAGGCCCTGAAAGACCTCATGCCTCAGGCTTCCCAGTTGCAGAATGGGTATCCCATCACAGCCAGGGTGCACTTGGAGAAAACCGGCACTGGGATTGGAGTTTCCCAGAGGTGGGTGTTGGGGCCACTCTGGGCCTGATCCCCATGGGCCCACCCCCACCGGCAGATGCAATCCGATGAGGACGGCAGCAACTTTGATGTAGTGTTCCAGCTACAGCTCAAGGAGATGCTGCAGCAGCTGCTGACCATGCTCAGCTCGGCCCTGGTCCTTAGCCCCCAGCTGGCTGTGTGTCCCCGTCGGAAGAGCCAGCCCCATGGCCCACCCAAGGAGAGGTAAGTGAGTGACCCTGTATGACTTCAGAGGAGGCAGCTGTGGGAACTTGTCCAAGGGCTCTTCTCGGCTGACCCTAGGCCACCAGAAACCTGGCTCCCCAAAGCCTCTCTGACCCTCAGCCTCCTTAACTATGAAATGGAGGTGGTGATGCCAGCGCCCTCTCCACAGCCAGCCCAGCACCCAGCCCCCCAGGATGGGGTCTCTGCCCCAGCAGCTATCCAGCATCACACCCTACCAGCCGGGGGACCTGGGCCTGGTGCCTCGACGGGCCCACATCCCACCCAACCCTGAGGACCTCAGGCTGCTCTCACACACCACCCGTGTGGGAACCTTCCAAGTGCACAGCTGCCCTGAGGTGAGAGTGCCAGGGGCCCCAGGGACGGCAAGACAACAGCCAACCCAGGGTACAGATCCCGCTCTGCCACACTGCAGCTCTAAGGCCTGGGGGCTGTGCCTAGCTCGCTAAGCCTGCATTTCTCCATCTGTAAAATGGGCCAAAGAAAAGTGTGGCAAGGCCTCAGTGGGCTAAGGCATGTCCACACATCGCCTGGGAAGGGGGCATGCTCGACCCTGTTGGCCCCTCCTCCGCTGGCAGGGGAAGGGAGGGAATCCCCTGAGGAGGCCTCAGCTTCAAGGCGCATCTTTAATCTTACAGATCCACACCTCTGGTTCTCTAAAAAGGTTCAAAAAGTTTAGTCTTCCTGAAGTTTCTCTACTTTCCAAGTAAGACACAGAGAGAAGACCAATCCCCATTCCAGAAGTGGACCACCATGGCAACAGTCCCCTCTTTAATTCACAGGCAGCCTGGGGCAGCCCAGAGAAGAGTTCTATAAAAAGTAGATACCACAAGTTGTCATGACACCTCTGTGGATGTGGCTCGGTGCGTGGGCATGGTGGTCAGGCAGGCACGTGTCCACTGATGGCAAGGCCTGACGGGGGGCGCTGGCTTCGCTCACGGATGTGGTCGAGGAGCAGGTCGGTAGCTCGCTGCAGCAATGGAGGCAGCAGCTCCTGTTCAGCAGCGGAGAAACAGCCTAGCACGTGGGCCTGCACCGTGTCAGGGTGTGTCGGGCGCCCGATGCCCACCCGCAGCCTCGGCATTGCCTGTGGGGGTCAGAGGGGCCCAGAGAGCTTTGATAAGGAGTGTCGGGGGCCCCTTGTTGGCCCACCAGACCCAGCGCAGGACAGAGGGGCAGACTCACATTGGAGTTGAGACAGGTAATGCAGGAACGGACTCCGTTGTGGCCCCTTCAAAGGGATATGGAAGGGGCAATTAGCGCTTCCCTGGATCAGCATCCCTCACCCTTCCCAGCCCCCGCCAGGGTCAGAACACCCTTATTCCCTGCCGAGACTGGGATGGGCACTGGTATCCTACTCCAACTGGGAGGCTCCTCCCTAGCCCCCCCTGACCTGCTTAGGGCCTCACCTGGAGCTTCCCCCAAGCTTCAGAGCCAGTTTCCCCAGGGGCTTGTCCAGTTCATCGTGCACCAGGTAGACCTCCTCAGCAGTCAGCCCAAAAAGCTCCGCTGGGCACAGACAACAGTGGCCCTGGTTACTGCCCATCAGCCCAGGGGGGTGGTCCCGATTCACAGCTCTCATGAGGAGGGACCGCAATTAACCCCATTTCACTTATAAAGAAGCTGAGATTCCTACAAGTACCGAAGGCCATATGCAGCAATTGGAGCTCAACAGGCACCTGGAGGTGAACAGATCTGCCGCCGCCCAGAACCCCGTCTCTGGCCCCGGCGCCCTCCCGGCCGGCCTCCTCGGGTGCCCTCAACTCACCCGCCCGGGCCACGCTGCGCCCGTTGGCGTTCATGAGGCGCCGCGGCCGAAGCAGGACCAGCTGGGCATCCCCGAGCGCGGCCAGGGCGAGGTCGGCGGCGCAGCGCCGGTCGCGCGCCCAGCCGTCCGCCACACCGAGCCGCTGCGCCAGCTGCCCCAGCACCGCCAAGCCCACGCTGTGCCGCGTGCCGGGCAGTCCAGGGTTCCCCAGGCCGGCCACCTGCGGGCGGCACCAGGGAAACTGAGGCCCGACATTTCTCGCCACCCTCTACCTCAGAGCGCCCCCTAGGACCCAAGCCAGAGAAAGGAAAATGGAGGGCAGGGTAGAGTGGGGAAGGGGCGCGAAGAAGGGGGCCCAGAAACCCCGGAGACTCCAGAAGGCTGAGGGCCCCGCGAACTGAGCGGTCCGGAGAGCAGAGTTCACAGAAGTTTAGGGTCCGTCAGAATATTGGACCCATTTTCTAGATAAGAAAACCGAGACAAGGAATTTGGGGAATGTTGTCCGGAGACAATGGCAGAACAGGAGCTAGTTAGGGCCCAGGAGCCCCTAGGCCGCCGCCCCCCAACTCTACCCACCAGCCACCGCTTCCCCGGGGGCCGGGGTTCCAAAACGCCCAGGCTCATGGCCCGACTCAGCCACAGCGTCGCTCTCAGGCGGCCGGGCGGCGGCATGCTACTTCAATTCACGTTCTCGGCCCCGCCCCCTGACGTTATCAGCCCTCGACCAATCGCGGTGGCCAACTGTCCCCAGTGTCCAATCCCGGGCGGGCCGGGCTTCTACGGGGCGGAAGTGGCGGGGCGGTGGCCTTGATTGGCGCCTCAGCTAGTTCCGCGGCGCCGCCTCACGGTGTTTCTGTGGAGTTTGTTGTGAACTCGCGGAGCCCTTATGTGACCTCCGGGTTGGGAGGAGGGAGCCTTGTTCTGGCCCCTGCTGTGGCCCTGCAACGCTGCGGAAACCTGGCAAGTCCTCTCCCTGACGTAGCCTCAGCCTTCCCGGCTGATAAGTTTGCTAACCTCCTTCCGGCTCTAACAACCCTTGGATTCCGGAGGCGTGGCCTGAGGGGGCGGAGCCTGTGGGCGTCCGGGAGATGGTGCCTGGCAACGTCCGGAGTGGGCCTCGAGAGGTCCTCCCTTCGGAGGGGAATTCATGACAAACTCCAGAGAGGTGCGGGAGAGGGTCAGGAGAGAAGAGGCCGAGGCGGAGTTCGCAGGAAAGGTTTCAAGTACAGGAGAGGCAGGATAAGTTGTGCGATTCAGGAAAGTCCCTGGCCGCAGTGCCGAGAAGTGAGGGCTTGAGACGTATGAGCGGTTGGGGAGGTCGAGAGTTGGCCGGAGCTGGCGTCCCGGCAGAGAGGGCATTGGCCCAGACGAGAGGATGAGAGAAGAGAAGGGATCTAAGAGATCTTTAGGAAGTGGGACAGACAGGACATGAGGACTGATAAGACAGAGGTGACTGGCTGAAAAGGTGGAGTCACCAAGGTGGGAAAGCCTGGGGCAGAAGTCAGGTGAGGTGTTCAACTTGCCCTCCTGGGCATGAGGGTCCCACAGGATATGCAAAGGGCTGCGGGACCTCCTGGGCCTGCAGTTTGGGGTAGGGCCTGAGCTGGAGACATTAGAGTTTTGGGAGTTTTGCAACTAGAGGTGAAGCTGATGGGGGACCAGAAGGAGAGCAGAGTGCAGTGTGAGTGTAAGAACTCTGGCCCCTAACCTTGACCATAGGAGAGGGAGAGAGGCAGAACTGAAGAGAGAAAAGTTGGAACATCCCTAGGGGAATGGGACTGCCACCAGAACCCAAATTGTGCCTCCTGCCAGCCTCGTTTCCAGCCCTCGTCCATCCTGTAAAACACCTGAGGAGAGTGTGTAAGAGGGGCGGGGGTCCTCTCTGAGGCCTGCCCCAGCTTGCTGTCCCTTGGTTCTAGGATGCTCTGGAGCTTGACCCGGCTCAATCAAAGGCCATCCCAAAGCCATGGGTGTTTCCAGTCCCAAAGGGAACCCTACAGCGCATCTTTGGGAGCAGCCAGGTGTTCCAGAACTGGGATGATGTAAAACCGAAGGTCACGGGATTAACAGTGCCCCTCAAAGTCAGGGAGTAGTGAGTCACTACCTTGTCCCAGGGTCCCAGGTTCCTACCCTGCACAGCGAGTGGCGTGCCCTACAGCCTTGGGTCAGTTACTCTCCCTCTCTGGGCTTCAGTGAACTCAGCTGTATAATAGGGCTCTTCTGCCTCAGCAGATGAAAGGCTGCTGGCCGGGATGAGCTCCAGGAATACCAGGCTCCTCTCCCTGGGTCTCTGTCTACCGGCCCCACCCTGTCTCTCCACCCACGTCCCCCCGCCTCCCAACCCACTCCCGCGGCCACAGCTGTATGCCCTGGGTTGGTCAAAGTCAGGGCCAGCCCCTCTGCCTGTGCCCCCCTGCCCCTACAGCTACCACCAAGGCCTGCAGTGCTTGGAGAAAGAGGACTGGGAGATGGCCGTGCTCTTCTTTTCCCGTGCCCTCCACCTGGACTCCCACCTGGTGAGGGGGTGGCTGACACTGCCCTCACTGTCCTACCTGCCAGGCTCCTCCTCTCGGGGTCACCAAGTCCCTTGTGATCACTGAGCATCAGGCCTCAGCAGACGGTGGAGAGGGGATAGCAGCCTGGGTCCCCTCTTCCTCAGGTAGACTTCTACGCTTTACGAGCTGAGGCCTACATCCAACTCTGTGACTTCTCCTCAGCTGCCCAGAACCTGCGAAGGGCCTACTCCTTCCAGCCAGAGAACACCAAGTACCTGGAGCGGCTTACCTTGGTCCTTTACCTGCAGGTGCCCTGGGCTGCTGCAGGCCCGCCCACCATGTCCACCTCACACCCAAGCCAGTTGGCTCTCCCTCCAGCTGTGGGGGGTTTTCCTTGCTCCTGGGACCAGCTCTGTCTCTCTAGGGACCTTCTTGTCCCCATGTCTGAGTCTGCACCTGCTGCCCCTCTCATGACCTCTCCTACCTCCAGAGATGGTTTACCACCAGGGCTGGATAAAGTTCTGCAGCATTGCCCAATAGAACTTTCTGCAGCGATGATAGTGGTCTACTCTGCACTGTCCAATCTGGTAGTCATTAGCCACGTGGAACTGCCAAGCCCTTGAAATATAGTAAGTGTGAGTGAGGAACTGATTTTTAAATTTTATTTAATTAATTAATTTAAATTTGTATAGCCACATGAAGTGAGTGGCTGCTGTTCCTGGACCACACAAACCTAGCATCTAGAGGCTCTAAGCACTAAAAAGGTAATAGCATCCCCCATTTACAATTCAAAATAAAATTACTGAACCACAAAATACCAACAAAGTCCAAGGTTTTCTGTTTCTGTTCCTGTTTCTGTATTGCCGTCTTGCCAACTGTATAATTCTATCTCTGCTGTCTCTCCCTCGCTCTGTATCTCTCTCCATCTCTGTCACCTTCTCTCCATCTCTATGTCTCTGTCCCCTAAATTTTCTCCCAGATCTATAGGGCTGTGTCCCTGGCTCTTGTCTCTCTCCCCTCCTGCCCCAGTGGGTGCCCCCTGTAGCTAGTGGGTGCTGCTGGGCCAGAGTCACAAGCAGAAGGGACTGCCCCCTGTGTCCCCAGGGCCAGTGCCTGTTTGAGCAACGTGCCTTCCCAGAAGCCCTGAGGGTCTTCTCGCAAGCCTCTGCGCTCCAGCCTGAGAAAGCCAGCTTCCGTTACCGATGGTGAGCACCAGGCATGCGGCCGTGTTCTCCCTGCAGCCCCTTCCTGCCCCTCTCGCCCTGCAGACAGAACATCTGCCCTCTCTTCTCAGCATGGCCTGTCTCCTGGCCCTCGAACAGCATCAGGACTGCCTCTCGCTCATCGCCAAGGAGGTGAAGCTTGGCACGACCAATGCTGATGTCTTCATCCTCCGGGCCAGGCTCTACAACTTCCTCCAGAAGGTAGAGCGGGGAGGGCGGGGCGGGGATGGCCCTTCCCCTCTGTGGGTGCCCCCAGCATACTCTGAGATTAAGGAAGGCCATCAGGCCGCCCGTGTGGCGGGGACCTTCGTTGGCCACTCAGCATAGTTGTCCTGCTATCACTCAGCTTTAGCTCTGTGCCAGGCCTGTGTCGGCCCGCAGAAGCCACAAGGTGAGAAACCTGTGCCATCCCGCCCCCATGGGAGTTAGAGCCCAAGAGAGATGTCCTTGAGCAGATAATTGCACAGAGGATGATTTCACAAGTGCAGGAAGCAGCACAGCGTGGGGGCACCCAAGGATCCGTTAGATAAGGTGGCCCTTCCTCCTCCTTTCCTGTCTCTCCTTATTTGCCTCACTGTCCGGGCTTGGAGCCAGAAAGTACAGGGAACAGTGTGGGGACAAGGGAGACTTGGGGTCACAAGAGAGGAGGGACTGCAGGTGTGAGAGGCCATCAGGTAGGGTTTTGTGAACCGAGGAGGCCCCTGACTTCTTCCTGGGGCCTCCAAAGGGTTGCTCTCTGGGGCAGTGGGCTTTAGAAAGATCCTGTGGCTGCCAGGGGGAGTCTGGGCTGGAGGGGCAAGACTGGAGGCCAGGAGCCTGGGTGCCGTCCAGCCAGAGAGGAGGGTGGAGGCGAGGATGGCCGTGAGGGTGGCCAGAAAGGGGCTGGTCCCACAGTCCTCTGGAAGTCAGGAGCAGAGACGGATGGGGGAGGGCATGAGGGAAAGGGAGGGATCCGGAACAATGCCTGGTGTTCGGGCTTGGGCTGGTGCATGGGAGCTGGGAAACTCAGGGGGAGACTCGGGTGGGCGGGTTCACCTCAGTCACCAGGTGGTGCATCCTGGGGGTAGCTGGAAACTTGAGCCTCCCTATGCTGGGGGCTGGGCTTCTGGGCCCCCACAGTGAGTCAGTGAGAGTCTCCTTCCAAGGTAGGAGACTAGTAATTATTGGTAATTATTGACTGTGGGAGTTTGGCCCCTCCTGCCACCTCAGCCCCTGTAATGCATAGGCACGTTCTAAGCACTTGACTCATGCTTGTCTTTACGACTTGAGGTAATCATTTGAGTAGATACAACCCATTGTCCTCTTTTCACAGATGAGGAAATGGGTCCAGAGGGCCTGGGTGACTTGCCCAAGGTCACACAGCCAGTTCTGTGTGGTGCTGCCCTTGAACCCAAGCCCACCTACTCCAAAGCCCTGTCCCGAGCCTCTGCCATCTTCCCCCTCCTGACTTCCACCCACAACTGGTGTCCACACTGTTTGCCCTGCTCACCGTCCAACCCATTACCCTACAGGACACAGGATGCTTGCTAAAACTGTTTGTTGACTGACAGACTTGTTCACCCAGTGGAAGGTATTTGCCTGGGGATGTTTTCTGCTCAGGCCCAGGCCTGCATCTGTTGTCAGAGTTGTCTTGGGCTTAAAGGTCAGGGGAATTGGGGAGGACATATGCATGGGAGGATAGGGAGGATGTGACAATCATGGTCAGGAGGACACACCTTCCGCCCACCTTGAGTGAGCTTAGAAGAAGTCCTACAGGGGCACCTGGGTGGCTCAGTTGGTTAAGCGACTGCCTTCGGCTCAGGTCATGATCCTGGAGTCCCTGGATCGAGTCCCGCGTCGGGCTCCCTGCTCGGCAGGGAGTCTGCTTCTCCCTCTGACCCTCCCCCCTCTCATGCTCTCTCTCTCTCTCGTTCTCTCTGTCTCAAATAAATTAAAAAAAAAAAAATCTTTAAAAGAAAAAGAAGAAGTCCTGCATGGAGGAGGCATCTGCAACACCATTCTACAGCAGAAACCACCCAGGCTGACTTGGCTCTCCTGAGGTCATATCTGGAAAGGGACCAGCAGGGATGGGGCCTGGGATGGGATTTTCTCATAATGCTCCCTGCTGCTTTCATGAGGCAAAAAAGGTGGCACAGCAATGCAGGGACATCAAGGATGGGTGACATGGTCTGGAGGTGTGCCTCTCCATGGGACAAAGCAGAGCTCGGCTTAGCCTACCGCCCTGATGCCATCCTTGGCCCCCTGCAGCCCAGCCTCTGCTACCGAGACCTGCACAGCGCCTTGCTGTTGGATCCCAAGCACCCACAGGCCAAGGTGCTGCTCCAGATGATGGTGAACCAAGCCCAGAAGGCGCTTCAGGATGCTGGGATCCTAGCTGTGCAGGGCAAGCTGCAGCATGCTCTGCAGCGCATCAACTGTGCCATCGAGAACAACCCTCTGGACCCTAGCCTCTTCCTCTTCCGGTACTGTGTGGGGAGGTACCCATCTTGGGTCCTGCTGTATGGTCTCAGAAGAGGACTTGATCCTCCCCAGGCTTCAGTTTCCCCAAGTAGCCTCTAATAATCTTTCCCTACTCCCCATTAGGGTCAAAGCCAGGGAGAGGTCTTAGCTGCTATTGCCCTTGGAGGAGGGGCAGGCAGCCACCTTAGTTCACCTGGGAATCCTGGACCCCCAAGCCTGCTGAGCATTCATGCAGGGAGGCTCAGCCCAGCTCAGTGGCCAAGGCTTGGGTTTGAATCTACCCCTTGCCCAGGACTTATTAGATGATTTGGGGCCATGTACCTTTCTTGAGTCTAGGTTTTCTCATATAAACAGTGGGGTAAAACATCTGTCCCAGGTACAAAAAGGCCTTAGCGTAGAGGTTGGTATGCATGCACCTACTTCCTAAAAAGAAAGATGGAAGCTATTTTTGGGTAAAGCAAAACTACCCATGACCAGCAGGCTATCCGAGTAGTAATCCGGAGCCGGCCCCACACCCAAACCAGTGCGTGAAGAGAGGGCCTCACGCCACCAACCCAGGTCAGAAGGCCCAGAGTGGCCAACGTCCTGGCTGGTCGCCCCAGTGGGTAGGGGTGCCTTGGCCTTCATGTCCCTCCCCCACAGGGGCACCGTGTACCGCCGGCTCCAGGAGTTTGATGCCGCCGTGGAGGACTTCCTGAAGGCGCTGGACATGATGAGTGAGAGCCAGGAGGGCATGGTGCGGCAGGCTCAGCGGCAGCTGTTGCTGACCTACAATGACTTCGCCGTGCGCTCCTACCAGCAAGGTGCCCACGAGGAGGGCGTGCTACTGCTCAACAAGGCCCTCAAGGACGAGCAGCAGGAGAAGGGCCTCTACATCAACCGGGGCGGTGAGCGCGGGCTGCCCCTCGCCCCTCTAAGGCGCCCTTGAGGGAGGGAGGAGGGAAAGAGCTTCAGGGATCTGGGGACACATTCTGCGAAGTGTTGCCTTAGACAAACTGGCTACAGTCTCTTCAAAATGCTCAGAATCAGGCTGCTGGGGAAAGGTGCCCGAGGCACGGAAAACCTTGGCAGGCACCCTCTACCACCCACGGGAGTGGGAGTTCGGGAGTTCACAGCCACCGGTCTAGGATCCCCCAGAGGGTGGAGCAGGCTGGGCTGAGGCTCCTGGGCACTGGGGGCGGGGGCCTGCTCAGCCTCTGCGTCCATCCCCCGGGCCCTAGATTGCTTCTTCCAGCTGGGCAACCTGATTTTTGCGGAGGCGGACTACCAGCAGGCACTGGCGCTGAGCCCGCAGGACGAGGGCGCCAACCTACGCATGGGCCTACTGCAGGAGAGGATGGGCTTCTGCGAGCAGAGGAGCAGGTGCGGGCTGTGGGTGGTCCCCGGGGGTGGGGTGGGGGTGCTGGCATGGAGCCGCCTGCTGGGACCCCTGGGTCAAGATCCTCTGCTCTCCCAGGTATGTCTCCTAAAGAACGGTTTTAGTTTTCAAGTTTTCGTGAAAAATTCTTCACTTTTTTCTGAATATTGTTATGGTAATTGTGCTTTTTATAAAAAACTGAAGTGTTTGGTAATGATGTATAATTCAGAACCTGAACATTCCTTCTAATATGTCTCCCAACACCAACCCCCCCACAGGTTTGGTAAAGGTCCCTCCAGATTGTTTCCTATACATATATTAACAATTATTATCAGTTTACAAAAGTTAAAGTCATGCTAAACTGTTTTTTGACTTGCTTTTTAACTTCCAATGTCATTATATATATAGGACTACCTCATCCTCTCTTATTATTTGCATAGTATTCCATTCTATGGAAGTACAACTCATTTCTTTAGGTAACCCTCTACTGATGACTAATTGGGCTGTTTTCTGTTTTTTATTATTATGTGATGAGCATGCAGGACGTACATTTTCATGCATTATACTAGTAATGCCATAATTAGATTGCTAGGAGCTAAACTGTTGTTAAACGGTGTGAACATTTAACATTTGAAAACGTAATAATATCCAGTTGTTCTCCACAAACAGTGAGCCACTATAAACTTCCTCCGGGAAAGGAGAGTCTTGGTTTGCCCAAACCTCCACAGTGCAGGGTGTGAAGACTGTTTTCTTTTTTTTTTTTGAGAGAGAGAGAGAGAGCACGTGCACAGAGGGAGAGAGAGGGAGAAGCAGGCTCCCTGCTGAGCAGGGAGCCCGATGTGGGGCTCGATCCCAGGACCCTGGGATCATGACCTGAGCCGAAGGCAGCCGCTTAACCGACTGAGCCACCC